ATTACTAGATGTGGCTCACAGAGTTTGTTTTTATGTGAAAAATCCAATCATTAACCAAGAAACTTAAAAGTGATAATTTTATTTATTATGGACATGCAGCATCACAATGAAACACAATGAGAACAAAACAACATGATTCTTACTGCATACAATTTCCCCAGAGTTAGTCCTTCTGCTGAAGCAGTTCTTCATCCACTAAATGGAACAACAGAAGGGGACAGCTAGGCGCTCCAATTTAGAGTAAGCTCTAATCTGCCTTATGGGAGCAACTAAAGGACCTATGGAAAAATGTTTGTTTAACAGTAATTTGTCTCAACTATAAATGGAAGCAGAACAGAACTGACATAGTCCCACAATGACAGTTTGTGCTGAACAATAACAGGATACTTGCATTAACAGAGTTGTGCTCTATTTAGGAAGCAAAAACAACGACTATACCAAACTCAATTGGTACAAACATTTATTTCTGCAAGGTGCCCTTTAAATGTCTTGCTGAAGACATCATTAGGGGATATGCTGGCCTCTAAAGAGAGGAAGTTTTAATGCCTGAGGAAACACCTGTATATATGAAACTTTAAGCTCATTTCACTAGGTCATTTGCTAAGTTGCTTTAAGCTAAAATAACTCTTATATCAGCTTTCCAGACTGGTGCAGTATGTCTAGATGTAAAGTGAATCTTTGGAAACCCGCCCTTCAAAAAAACCCAAAAAACCCCAACAACTATTCTCATTTTGTGTTTGGCTACACGTCCAACAGGAGGCTACCAGTCGCCCAGCAGGTGACTGACTTCAATCCACAGTTTAAAAGTGGAAAAGTCTACAGTAATCTTTCCATTACAATAAAAGTAACCTAAAATGAAAGTACTCCTACTTTTTCTTGTTCCATGAATAAGCCCCAAGGTATGGTTAATTCTTCTAAGAAGTATGCTACAACATCAATGAAGGTAAAGCAAAACAGACACACAAACCCCTTCTCATTTGCCGTAATGATGGAAGACCTAAGGGCCGTATCACAAATGACATCTCACAGCTCACCTGTGGGGCTTTCCTTCCTTCTACAAATTCTACTTTGAAGAAGTCAAAGACCATTCTAAAGCTGGTACAAGACATGCTCACAACAGGAAGAAAACTTCTTGTAGAGCCCTGTAATATTCTAGTCCCACACAACATTTACAGCTCCTTCTAGATACCCATTGCTTTGGTTTGGATCCTTAAGTCAGTACTTGCATTAAGAGGAAAAAAAAACCAGAAAAAACAAGCAACCTGTGCCAGAGAAGGACCAGAAACCAAAACCAAGGTAAAACACAGTTATGAAGTGCTTGAGAACTACCAGAAATATACATGAAACAATCAAGATCACTGAATAAATGACTAAGGCACCTTATGACTCAGATGAGTGAAATCTCTTCCACAAAGTCTCTTTCTATCAACTAAAAAATAAACTTACAAAAAGATCTGCAATAATGAGGTGAACATTAGTTTACCCAAGTTTGGAAGAAATCTGTAAATCCATAAATATCAGCCACAGACTAAACACCTATTTATTATTACAATGCACCAAGAAACAAAATAAAATTTTTTAAGTGCCTGAAGAAATCCCTCAAGTGAATACCTAAGGGGGAAGAGTGTAATTCTACTTGAAAGTTTCTTTTTGGGTTAAAGTAGAGCACAACAATATCTCAAGTGTTATCTATATATAACACACAAAGGTATATGTTTTTCCTTAAAGATTATTTAATTGATGATTTAAAATACAAACTACTTGACAATAACTAAAATTCAAATAAAACAAGAATAAAACTTCCACTTCAGAGACTCAGAAATAAAAGGAAGTCTCCTCTTGTGAAAAATAGGAGCATTAAAAAAAACCCCAAACAACTGTTTTGAGAGGTACTGATACAGCCTCTTCCATATTCTTCCTACTGGGGAAAAAACGGTACATTGCAATACTAATAAAAACAATCAGATTGAATGCAGCTTTTTACCTTCTTGGTAGAAGTCCACCTCCAGGTGCAATTCACATGCTTTTAGCAGTAAGATCCCACACCAGTTCCAGCGTCGTGAAGCTGTACGAGGCACACCAATTCATTCAGCTACACATCTTCCATCAGCTAACACAGAAGGCACAATGGAAACAGAGCTAAGACAAACACAAGACAAAAATTTGAAATCAACTTCTTTATGGATAAGCCAGTGTTAAAATTAATACTTTTATTAATCATTCAAAGAGCTTTCACTGACCCTCCGAAAGAATTGGACTGACTCATATCTCAGCTACAAACCAGAAATCACACTAGGAGTAGAACCCAAAACATGTATCCATCAGTTCATTTAATTCAAGTATTAAAATTTATTCTGCTGGGCCAGTATATGATGTTTAGGTACAACTCAGAAAACAACTCACAAAGCTAATATGGATGTCTGACCATGGGCCAGAGTAAACTGACCCCACAATGGAGAGCACCAGCTTGGCTAAAGGCCATCAGAGGACAGTAGTCCAGAGCACTATAGCTGTACTTCAGAGCTCAAAGATCTTTCCTAGTGCTTCCAAACCAGGATTCAGAAGTCCTGTGAAAAGGATGCCTATGTAGGCATCCTACACTGTCATCCTGGAAGGAAGGGGGGTGGTGTTTGTGTTGGATCTTTGTAAAGAATACTTTAATAAGACTGAGAATGGATCAAACAGGCCCAGTAAACAGGGGAGAAAACCCTACCTACTGTACTAGTCAGGAAGAATCACCTACTCACCAAACAAATTCAGTCTGAAGTTTTTCTCATAGTAGCTCCCCTATTTCTCATAGGGGAATAGTAGCTAAATGCTGTTAATTAAGAGTATGGGGGGAAAAACCACATAACATGTTTTCCACCACAAAAGACTCTACCTAACAGCGAAAAGAATTCAAGGGCTTGTGTTCTTTCACAGTTTGATAATATTCACATAAAACAGGTTTTCCTAATGCATTTATTAATGTTAACTGGGCATCTCATAGCTAAGGGAGTTTTAATGATTCATTTACTAATGGAGAGATCAGAATTTGTACACACTATGAAGGTAAACAAATACATCTGTCAAGCATCTTCTTTCCTCCTGAGTCTCAGCTAGTACAATTAATCAAAATCTGATGATTGCTCTGCATAAGGAATGTGTCATTTGTCTGACAGATTTAAGCTGAAGGGGAGAGAAGAAAAACACACTTAAACATTTCAACTCCTTCTTTTAGAAATTATGATCTTATGTCCACAAAATCAAAAATACCTGACAACATAAACATAACAGCTTGAATTCAGCATTTTATAAATGCTGAATTGTATAAAATGCAGTTGAAACTGGCATACTTCAAGAAATATACAAACAAAAGAGTTTGCATATGTAAACCTTTTACTGAACTTGTTTTTAAGATGAGCATTATTATCATTGTGCAAAAGCGAAACTTTCATTTTCTGGACAAACAGGCTGAGTTCACATACAATTAAAAATAAAAAAGTTCTTTCTCAGCTTTCTGAAAGCTTGAAGTACAAGCACTTAAATGTTTAGAGTTAAATAAGTACCAGATTTTGTAAACTGTTAAGTAGTGTTACACAGCCATAATTTCTAAGTACTAAGTGAATTCTGTTAGCTGGGCAATTCAGAATTTTACTTCAGTCTGACCTGGATATTACAACAGAAACTTTCTTTTCCAACGAATTTAATAAGAAACATTTAATCAGACAGTGAAATATGGTTCTTTGACTAACAAAAAGATTAGTTAGTAAAAAAACACTGAGGGGAAAAATTAATTTTCAAAACGAATTTATGTTTAGTTTTGTCTCCAGAATTAAACCCTGCAAGATGTGTTTCCCCAAACTGTGCTTAATAAAATAATGCTATCCTTGATGACAGTTGAGATAAAGCTCTAATCAGTACCAATGCCAACTACAGTATTTTAACAGAAACACGATTTGTTGTGCTCCTCATGGAAAAATACAGACATATATCCAATAAGCAACCACAAGGACATGAAGGCTTCAAATTTTGGTTTCTCTGCACATTACTAACAGCTACTACTGTCCCTCCATTCCACTGCTACCCCTCGGGCAAAGCCCCATTTCTTTCTGTCAAGAGGCAGTACTGGAGCAGAACGAGAAAGGCAGAAGGACGCCTTCCCTTTGCCAGCCATCACCTCTTCAGCTCACTTACATGCACGCTGGCTTTCACACAGTTTGTTACCCATTCTTCCCTGTCTTTCGAACGTGCGCCTGCAGTAGCTGCCGTGTGCGTCTAGCAAACTGCTAGGTGGAAAACTCCCAGCTTTGCAGAAGGACCTATGCAAGGAAAACACTCGGCAGGACGCGGGCTATTCCCACTGCTTGTCCCCCACCGCCCTCACAGCCGAGATGCACTATCCCTGCAAACTCCCCCGACCACCGGATCCGGGGTGGGCAACACACCACAGAGAGGTCAACTGGAAGCTCTCCGAGGGGAGAAGCTCTCCGGGAGGAGGTGTGAACGCTGCCCCCGGGGTGCTGGAGGCTCGGGAGCTGCTCGCGTTCCCCTCCCCGTGCCAGGTCTCCCGGTGCCCCGCAAGTTCAAGTGCCGGAGTTCCCAGGCCCCCGGGCCGATGCCGCTGCCGGGCGGCGGGAGCGCGGCGCCGGCCGAGGGGCCCCGCGGCCCACCCAGGCTGGCGGAGGGCGGCAGCTCCTCCCCGCACACCGCGCCGGGGCCGAGCGGGACCCACCCGGGGCTCCCCGAGCCCTGGGGGCCGGCCGTGCCCCCCTCCTCCGCCACGGGCCGCTCGCTCCGCCCGGGGGGAGACAATGGGCACGATGACTTCACCCTCCAGCAATGTGAGCAGCAGCGGGGGACGCCGCCGACTTCCCCCCGGCCGCCAGGACGCTCTCGGGCCCTCTCCCCCCCGGGCTCGGGCTCCCGCCCAGAGGCGGCTCCGGCTCGGAGGTTCCGCTCCACCCCTCACCCGCCGCCACGCTCAGGGCGGCGGCCGCCGGCGGAGGCCCGAGCCGGGGGACGCCGCCACCGCCGGGCCCCTCGGCGCCCCCCGCCCCGCCGCGGACCCACCCCCGGTACCTGTGAGTCGGCGGGAGGAAGCGGCGCTGCTCCGCCCGCCCGAGCCCGGCGCCGCGCAGGAAGCGCCTCCGTGTGTGTGTCTATGTGTGTGTTCGCCGCCGCCCCCGGCGCGGTGCGGGGGGTGCTCGGAGCCGGCGGGGTGGCTGCGGTGTCTCTGCCCCCGCGGCGGGGGACGCCGCAGCGCTGCCAGCCGCAGTTGCAGCACAAGGTACAACGTTGTATGCATGTACAGTTCCGTGGGCTTCACACCCATGGAAATGCAAAAGTGCGAGGCGAAGAATGAATTATTGGGGCGTTTCAATAGGTCGTGCTGCTGCGCGCTGATTCACTTGCCAAAATGACAAAACCCGGTTTCCGTGGTGCAACATACAGATTTACCTTCTTTTCGCCCGCCTTTGCCATTTGAAACAGAAGCCGCCTCAGAATTTGGCCACAAGCGCCCATCTCGTCCTTGGCGGCATGGCCCTGTTCTGCATTTAGCTGCGGTCAGCCTCCGGCCCACCTGCATCGCTCACCCGTCCCTGAGTTCGGGTTCTCCTCCTTTTCCTGCCGACCTTCATGCGGTCTTCCGCGGGATTCCCTCCCTCTGCAGCCCTGTCGTAGCTACCGCCCTCTCCCACCGCCGGCTTGCTGCTCCTGACCTCCGCTCCTGGCCCCAATCTCCTCTGGCATGTTTCAGAATTCTCTGCCTACATTATTATTACATTGGATTTAAGTAGTGTGGGTTTTTTTTTTCCCTAGTTAATCATTCACACTGTCGTCTCAGAATTCTGTGGAACTGGAGCTGATCCTGTGCTTACGACTAGTGGTTCTTCCATTAAACTGGTATGAAACCTGAAAACTTACTCTGGAAAAAGTTATTAATCACCCAGCCTGCACTTGACATGCGCAAAGATAGTAAAATGAATAGAATGTACCATGCTTTTCCTGTGGGATTTGCAATGTACCATCAGTGAAAGGCTTACACGTATACTTACCTTTATTTATGTGCATAGTTCTGTTTAAGTCAATAGGACTACTTCCAGTACATCAAATTAAAAGTAAATACAAGTGATTCCGTGATGAGATACTTAATCTGAAATGACAGAATAGGCAGTTACAACAAACAGGGAGGGGAAGTGGAAAATAAGGGTAACACCAATGAGATTATACTGGAATTTTGGCATGTTGTGTGCAAACCACGGTAGTTCCCTCTTGGCTTGTAAAAGCCAGTGGCTAGGTGAGTGCTCAGGCTCCAGTACTGCAAACACGTACGTGTCACTTAGGGCGTGTGAGTGGTGCCATTGTGTTCAGCTGCATAAGATACACAGAAGTTTATTACATACAACAACTTGCAGAGTAAAATCTTGGACGCTTTGTTATGTATGGGATTTGATGCAGAAAAAGGATATTAGAGAAAGGGAATTAGCTCATAAAATGAGAAAAAGACAAGAATGGAGGTGTGTGGGGGAAAGAAAATGAAGACAGAAACAAAAAGACTAGCAGATAGAATAGCATGGTAGGTTAGTGAACAAATTTTGCAACAGCAAACCATTTTGCCAGCTCAAATGTGCAGCTACCAACAAACAAAAACCAGCCAGCAAAGCAGTTCAGTAATATATTACTTTCTAAATGTCCAGAGGGATTCAGCAAATCAGTACAAATGTTCTGAAATATATTGGCTAATGCTGGAGAATAGGAGGGAAACAGAACCCTGGTGTTTTAAAATTCTGGACTGGGACATTGAGCAGTCACTGTGGTGGTGAGATGGTTTCTCCTTGAAGCTGATGAGGGACAAAGCAAACCTCCAGCCAGCCACCCTGCTGAGAGCTTGGTAGTAGAGAGCCTGCAGCCAAGTAGGTGCTTTTCATTAGAAGTATTCAAAATAGTCAATTAACAAAATACAATAAGCATAGGGACAAAAGAAACTCTTTTCTGCACAAGCTGTACACTAGAACTGGCAGTTGTTTATTTTGGTATGTAAGGAAGATCATTTGTTTGCTTGTTATTATTACAGAACACAATGACAAAGAGGTATTAAGGAAAAGTAGGGGCTGCTCAAACTCTTGAGCAGAGAGGAAATACCTTATGTGCTCTGCATTTGGTGAGGCATACAAGGTTTAAGAATGCTAGCTAGCCTGTCTTTCCAAAACACTTTCTGAAGAACATCTAGGATTTAACCTTTGTAAGTATTTAATTCAGTTGCTGGCAGAAAAGTACAAAGTATTATATCACAATACAAAAATACTGCCCTCACAGCAAAACATCTGGTGTGTTCTAAGGAGGCATAAGCACACACAACATGCTGTCAAACGTGGAAGGGTAAAAATCATATCAACATGAAGACAGGTGAGCAGAGAGGGCTGAGGAAGGAAAGTGCTTTTCTTCTTGGTGGTAAGGAATGGAGAAAAGGGTATGAGATAGACAACTACATCTCAATTTTGTATATCCTTCCCATAATCTCTGCTTATCTGGACTGCTGGCCTCGGTGTAATTTCAATATTTACATATGAAACACTGCTTTCTCATATGGTAGTGTAAAATCAGCACCTTGGGCCGGAATTTCATGTGTTGGTGGTCTTTTCTTTAAAGTCATATTGGAAGAGTATCAAATATGATGGGTAAATGTTTTCATGTCTCTGATCCCACAACTGAGTCTCCCTTTGAAATCTTTTATCTGAATATTCAACCATCGTCTTCAATATAAAATTGGCAAAGTCCAACTCTATTTTTTATTAGGCAATTTCATGTTTCCTGCAGGCTCTGTCATCATCTGGTCTCCAGCCTGTCATTTTTAGGGAAAAACCTGTCCTCAACCCTTCCCCTTTTGACACGCGCATTTATATCCTTGATCTTGCTTTCATCTTGTTCTGAAGAACACCCTTTGTTGGAAGATTCACCACTCTCCTATGTTTTCCAGCTCAGCTGTCTTGCCAATTTATTTTTTTTCCTGGAGACTTTATTTTTAGCATCCCTGATTTTACTGATCTGTCCTACAGTATTGCCCCACAGATGGCTGCATTTGCACAAAAAGCATTGCAGAAGATTGATGTGGCAGCAGGAACAAGTGGCATAGGGAAGGAAGAGAACTGTCCAGATCAATTTTGCCTCTGGAAAAAATGTAGTATGGAAATGCATTCTGACTTGCAACCAGAGGAGAGAGGATAAAAGCCTTTGATGAATTAAAATATCTGCAATACACATGGATAGCAAAACGGAAATCAGACATGCAAAAATGGAAAATATTTATAAATACCACTGTATAACTGATAAATATTACATATAAATACAGCTAAGAGACAAAATGCACAGAACAGGAATAAGTGTTTAATACCATCAGGTTTCTGTTTGCCCATTGTGAAAGATTATTTGCCATGCACTGATTGTCATAAACTGTACTGAGTGCAGTAGATTTAAAAAAAAAAAATACCTGTGTGCCATGATGGCAAGGCTAGGATAATGGATTAGTGACAAATAGAGCTATCTAATATAGATGCAATCTCACTGATCCAAGTTACAAAGTGGCAAGATACCAGTAAATAATGTGCAAGCTGAGAACTTTCCAAATTTTTGGCATGTCATAAAACATTAAAGATAAAGGCTTCCATAGCCATTTCAAACATCTCAGATATCTTAGAATTACATCATCTGATCTAATCAGTTTCTGTAGTAGTCAATAAAGAAAAAGTAAAAGTAGAAAATTGGTACTATATAGAAGTGCAGTTCCTAGAACGTGCCTATTGCAAGAAAAAAATATCTGTTTAAATAAATAAAATTTATTTAGGTTTATTTCCAGCCACTATGACAGTGAATAAAAATAAAAATCTGAGTGCCTGAACCCAAAAAGTGTTCCTAAATACATATAAGATGTCACTCAACTTACAAGACTCCAGAAGTCTGCAAAAGACTACTATATGACCTTGAAGTTTCTCAAATGCCTAAAACTCTATTCCTAGATGTAGTATTTAAGCTCTGCAGGTAAGGAGTTGCAGGATGCAAAAGTGATACCTGTGTATTTTCTTGGAGTTAGCCATTTTTAAAGGCCAGTTGTCTATTACTGTCAGTATCCTCAAGGAACTTCAATTTTTTTGAAAAATGAAATTCAAGTAAGAGTTATACTGCAAGAAGCAGCAGACTGTAATTTCTGTTGCACAACACTGTTTCCATTCTAGTCTCCTGAGCTTTCCTCCTCTTTTAGTCAGAACAGCCTGAAATTTCTGTTTTTCTGGGTTTAGAATTTATGTGCTTATTCTCTGCCCAAAGGTGAAATTGTTTCTGGAAAGCTTGAGCAAGAATGTTTTTTTTAAAGTGTTTAAGTGTGAGAACAGTGGGATGGGGGGGAAATGTTGCATAAAGGTAAAAATGCTTTAGGGTTTTTTAAATAACTTTTTCATCATGATGAAGAGATGTGAAGAGATGAAAGTTGTGGTGGAAATAACCCTGCTCAGGGAAGACATACTTTTTCTAAAATTGGTCTCAAATTTGTCCTTCAATCAGCATATACATCTTTGTCAGAGCCAGGGAGCATTTACACTTGACCTTCCCTGAGAGGAAGGGCAAGTATTTGCTCAGATTTAACTGTCCTTTGAGTCACAAACAGCTCCTCCATATTTTCATGGTGACACACTGACCATACCCCAAAGTCCTGTCCCATTACTGCCTAATTATTCATGGCATGGCTCATCTGCAGTGTATCTACAGGTTCTCTCATAAATAAACTGGGATTGGAGAGGCTGCTGAGGGAGGGGCTCAATGCCCACAGGGGCCCTACTTGAGTGCACACTGGCCACGCTCTGCTGTTGGGATCTCCAAATGTGTTGCAGCAGGCTTTTGTGGCCTTCTCTCTCTCTGCATGTCCCCAGGTCACAGTTCAGTACCACAGGCATTTAAAAATATAAACCATCGATGTGACAATGAGGGGCCTCGGTCAACTGCCTGTGGGATGTGCAGAAGCAGTGTTTCTCCTCAAGAGCACCTTCCAATGTCTGCTGTCCTGCCTCAAGTCCATGGCCAGGAGGTCAGTGGACCTGAAGATGGCATGTGTTTGCAGCCAGGGTACCAGCTGCTAGCCCGGACAGAAGAAGGAAGGGATTCTGGGCGGGCATGAAAAGACACAACCCATAGTCACATGCTGTCACATGCGGTCATGCCAGATGCTACGTGTCCAGCATGAGCACACACTGGACAAGGACAGTGAGCAAGGTGTCCTTCTCAGCTGGATAGGGAGTGCTCACGCAAGCAGAGCTCTGTCTGGGAGCATTGCTGTGTGCAGTTGGATTGGTGGATGAAAAGGACAGGGGTGGTGAGGAGTGGTTGCCTTTAGCCCCTGCTTAGGGAACACATTTTCTCATACAATAGCTGTGAGAGCTAAAAGCAGCAGTAGGACCCAGGACCTCTGTGCAGAGAGCTTTTCAGAAGTCTGTCATCCCTGCTGGCCTCACCAGGCAGATGAGCTATAGGAGAGAGTTGCTTGCTGTACGTGGGGAGCTGCAAACTCAGCTCTGCCAGATTGTCTGGGAGTTCCCACATGGTGACACGTATGGTAACACATTCTGCAGCCCCAGCCATTGCCAAGGACAGAGGACATGAGCAGAGCACTCTGATGCAGCCTGGTTCTCCTCAGCATTGGCAGGTGAATCCTTCAAGTACAACAACTACAACAACTGCAACTATGCTGCTCTCCTCTATGCACTGGGATGGCTGTTTTGCCATGAGCATCATCACCATGTCTTCCTCTCTGCCAGCATCACTGGTAAGTTTGCTGTTTGCTGACTGCTCTCAGCATGACCCTCATAAAGCAGCAATTCTGGCCTTTACCTCTTGCCCAGAAGTCTCCTCTGTTGTCTCTGTTTCCTCAGGCTAGCCAGAACCAGGCCTTTCAGAAGTGTGAAACTCTTGCTTCCTTGCATGAAGCTGACTCCAGACACAAGTTAGTAACAACAATTTCCTGTGGTCAGGAGCACCCAGTTCCAATGCTCTCTCCAAGAGTTTCCAAGACTTCAAGCCTCTTTTGCATCACAGAAAGAGGACAGTGACTGCAATGCTGTGAGTTTACCCAGGGATGGTACATAATTAAATCTTTGACAGAGAGATCTAAATACTCATTTGGTTCATGGGGCAGCATACCAGGACATGCCTAGATTGACCATGATGCAATGTGACCAGAAGAGAACTGCAGGTCTCAAATGTCCTTTCCTCATGCAAGAGAAGTACCTGAAGCATACAAAGAAGAGTCACACCATGTGCCCAAGAGCATTGTCCAAACACTTCTTGAACGTGTCAGGCTGATGCTGTGACCACTTCCCTGGGGAGCCTGCTCCAGTGCCCAACCACCCTCTGGGTGAAGAACCTTTTTGTGATATCCAACCTAAACCTCCCCTGACACAACTTCAGGCCCTTCCCTTGAGTCTTGTCACTGGGACCACAGAGACAAGATCAGTGTCTGCCCCTCCTCTTCCCCTCACAAGGAAGTTGAATCTGGAAGTGAAGTCTCCTCTCAGTGTCCTCTTCTCCAGCCTGAACAGAACAAGTGACCTCAGCTGCTCTTTATATGGTTTCCCCTCAAGGCCTTACATGGGGGTCTTTATGTGCATTTGCATTGATGTTGAAGTGAGGAAAATGCTGTGATGTGTTTTCTTCTCCCTGCTGCCCAACAAGGTCCCCAGGAGCTGGTACTCCATCTGGTTTCACCTCTGCCGTGCTACAAGTGGAGTGCAACAGCTTTTGGATGTTGCGCTAGCTGTGCCTCTCCTCAAAAAGAAAACAGAATTCATTTAAAATATATATAACATATGTTTGAGGCCATACTTGTTAATATCTGGAACCAGAACTAGCCTTTTTATTTTCATTCTAGAATTTGCTTACTGTCCCGAAGTAATCAAGTCAGGAATCAGAGGATTTGGCTTCTCTGAGGACTGTGTCTGCCTCAAGTTCTACAGAAGGTGCTTGTGTGTTGGTGTTGCTTCCTTTTTTTTCCCTTTTTTTTATCCCTTGGCTTGTCTTCACAGGGTTTTTTTTCCCCTTGATTCCTTTCTATTTTTGCATTAGATCAACTAAACACATGACACCTTATACTACACTCTCTGTGCCCCCTGCTCTCAATTCTGGCCAAGATACACGGACAGAGATTTCCTCTCACCCAAGGGTAATGAGTCACAAAGTCTGGATGATTAGAAGGAAGGGTTAGGGTTTCACCTGCCTTTTGGGAGATCATTTTCTGCTTCAGATACCATTCCTAATCCTACACTTACTGCAGATGCACTCTACTACAAAACCTGTAGAAGTGAGTCCTCCCTGGAGACTGCAGTGCTATTCATCACTTTATGGAAGGTGTTTCTGCCCCACATTTATCCCTAAAGGGTTAGAATTGACATTTGGCATGGAAACTTATTTTTTGTTGTTGTTGTTGTTGTTTTTTGGTGGTTTTTTGGTTTGTTTGTTTGTTTTGGTTTGGTGTTTTTTTTGGGGGATTTTTTTGGGGTTTTTTTTTTTTTTTTTGGTTGGTTTTTTTTTTTGGGGGTTTTTTTGGGTTTTTTTTTTTTTGTTTGTTTGTTTCAAGTTTTCATGAAGTTTAGACTTCAACTGAGATAGTCCAGGTTTCTGCTTGAAGCAACAAAAGGGTAGCCATAATGCTCAGTGGGCAGTCTCTCTGATGTTGTTGGGGGTTTTATCTGTAGTGCAGGGGGTGTCGATGCATTTGAGCCAGTTCTGCTTGGGTTCAGCTGGCTGTGCAAGCATGGAGCTTGGTGAAGAACTACAGCTCACCAGCCTTCCAGGCTGTGAAGTGCTCTGTGTTGTTGCAGCATTAGTGCTGACCCTGAGCTGGTCAAGATCTTGTGATCCTAGTCTTTCCACTGCTGTTTGATGTTTTTTCCCCCCTTCACTTCCCTAGAGAATACTGAGGTTATGGGATTTTGTACAAAATTATTCCCTGCAGCAGTAACAGGCAACAGAGATCTCTGCTTATGTGGAAGTTTCTCTGCCATGCCCAGGCTGTATGTTTTAGGCTTTAGGTCATCCAGTTCACCACTTACTTATCTGTCAGGTCTGGGCCATGAAATATAGAGGCTGGAGTTATTGCTGACTGGAATTCATTATTACACCCAGGTACTTAGCTGACATATCCAAAAGGTTGGATAAGTTTATGATCAATGAGAAATCCATGCAAGTACAGAGCTGAAGAAGGCAACAGGCAAATGATGCACTCTACTAACCACTGGCCAGGGAAGACGATGCACCTCCACACATGTATTCAGTCTTCATAGGAGAGTGCTTCCTCTGAAGCCTCTGGTGTTGCCTGCTACTGGAGGCAGGGCTCAGTGGGGTAATTACTTCAGTCATGAGGACAGATACTCCAGTGACATCAGTGGAAATCCTTTTCATGGTGCTGAATTACAGCTTGACAGCAGCAATCTCATGACACACTCCTTCTGATTCCACACCTGCGTCGTGACAACGGTATTGCTTGGTTACATGAAAACAATATCACTGCTTAAGGGGAAGACAAAATGACAATAAATTTATTTTTATGAGATCTTTGGATTCTTTTCCATCTCCTGTTTGCTTTCTGTAATTTTTAAAAATTTTCCTTTTTTCAGGATTCGACATTTATTGGGACAATCTTATCACTGCTTGCAATTTCCAATTGCTCTGATTTGATTGCTTTCCCATTTGCAATTTCTTTCTATGTGCTGCTAGAATTTAGAAACTAGTGTCACCATTCAGATTTTTCTAGGTTCCAATTGACGGGAGTGAAACACCTTCCCATCCCAAAAGTGAGTTTCATGTAGTTATCAAATGTTTGGAGGCATGCTGCTTCCTGACAAAAAGGGGGGAATTATCAAATGTTTGGAGGCATGCTGCTTATTTAAGTGTTCCTGACAAAAAGGGGGGGAAAATCTCACAAACTGAGTTCATATAATCTGTTACATGTGAAGACTAATTTTTAAAAGTTTTTTTCCTTACCATGGTAAGACAAAACTTGGAGCCTGACCACCTGCAATTAGGATGTGAAGGATGTACCATAGTGTGCTGAAGACTGGAGGTCCTTAAACAGTTTACATTGTGATACTGAAGACATAGCTTAGTGTAAACATTTTAGGCAGGCCATTTTTGTGTGACATGCTGTAGCCTCATGTGAGCTAGTCTCTGAAGAAGCTGTATGAATCATATTCTGGCTTCATCTGCCTTTCTTCTTTCAGTGTAGAGAAAGCACAGATTATGATCTTAGGTTCAGCCTTACCATTTGAGTAGTTAAGGTTAGGTAAGATGAATTCTGTCTTCAAATTAGCCAAATATCAGAAAAAATATAGAATGTTCTTTTTTTCCTTCCTCCATAGCATTACTGATACTTGCAGAATTATTTGATATAATAAATGCTCATACTTAAAAGCAAAGTGCTATGATTAATCAGTAATGATTAATAGTTTAATGCACAGTTTAATTTGCAAATAGACTCTTATCCCATTTCTCAGACCCTTAAACCAGTTTTTCCACAGCTGGAGGAGTCTATCAGCTGAATCACAACAGACAACTGGAGGGATGAAGTGAGGGAACCTCTTTGCAAGAGTTTTTTGGTTTTTTGGGTTTTACTTTTTCTGTGCAGAGATGTTGGCTAGCTGATGGTAGTTTTTATTCCTCTTTATTCCATACAAAACCTTGATTTAGTGCTTCAGCAGTACCAGATGTGTAAGGATCAAGCCACAGGATCAAGCCATTGCGAGTGCCCCGTGTGGGCTTAAAGTATGTCTGGACTAAGGAAGGGTTGGAATAAGTAGAATGAGAAAGTACAAGATCATAGGTTTTTGCACCATACTGAACTGACATTTTCATGCTTTTCATAGAATCACCCCCAATACTTATAGATTAGGAAAAGTCCAGAGGGGAGAGAGTTAACACCCTCTCAATGCTGTGCCCGTGTTGGCCTGCGTTCTTTTTGTCTAACTGCTAAGCAAAATACAAGTTTCATAAATAGAAACACTGAATATAGCCTGCAGAAAATTATTTTAGCACCATATGAAGACATGATGTCAGTGAATCTGTAATTTGAATATATATTTTTGTTGCAAAATCTAGTGTTCTGTTTTACACATAAGAGCAATGAGGCTGTCAGTTCTGACCATCTTAACAGTGTTGCAGAATTCTGAAGAAGATGGCAAAACACTGCATTCAGTTGAGAAATCAATTTAAGCAGAACGCTCAGAGAAAATAGATTGTTATCTGTAGAAAAGGGAAGTTAAGGGCAAGTGGAACTTCACTAAAGTATGTTCTATGTTGGAGAAAATAGAGAAGTTCTATGCCACAAATGGAGTTGAGCTTAATCAAGTTGAGAAATTAAACTTGTTGAGTTAGTTTAATTCCAAGAAAAATAATCAAATATATCTAAATATTAAGTTTCCTGAAACTGAAATAGATACTGGCAGAATATAAGGTATTTATATACCAATGTCACAGAAATAGTCACAATAGTATGCATATAGAATTAAGTAGCAGGGCAACAAGAAAACCATGTCTATTGTTTTAACCAGAATTAGGCAAATTTTTGGGTGTCCAAATTGACTAGTGTTCATATTGCTACAGAGAAGCACCTAGATGTATCTTCTGGGCATTTTCCTTTCCAAAGTTTCTTTATCCCTACTGCCTATGGATATCTTCACATTATAATGTTTCAATTGGTAAAGTTTTTTATCAATAAATAAAACTGATCATTGGTATATATCTAATCCTAGTGTCATTCTCCATAGACAGGTAAATGAAACGCAGTTTAAAAATAGTTCCATGGAAGAAAACTCTTTCCTTCCCTTCTTTCATATGCACAGATAGGCTTGGAGGAGAGTGTTGATGACCTTTACTTTCGTTTGGGAAATATGGTGAGCTTTTCCAACTGGCTTGGCCAGAGCTTGCTGGAGCACAGCCTTGCCATGCACTCCTAGTTCTCTGCAGCTTGCTCACTTTCCCAACTCTTATGTACCTTCCAATTTAATGAGATTATTTTCTCTTGGTGTTTTGCAGGTTTTTCCTGTCCCTTCTTGTTTTTCAGTGGAGTAATCGTGCTTACTAATATCTTATCCAAAAGGCCAAGACTTCAGTACAGCTGAAATACTGCATGCTGTGAACTTTTGCCTCTTGTTTGTACTTGCCTTTAAACTATTAATAGGAAAAATTCAGAAAAAACCCACCATAACTTAGCACATATAATACTTACTAAATATTTTTCCTGCCAAAACTAAAGATGATGTCTCAGTGTCAGTGCACAGAACAATAGTGAGACCAATTCTTTT